AGAGGGCTGGAACACCTCTCCTGTGAGAACAGGCTGAGGGAGTTAGGCTTGTTCGCCTGGAAAAGAGAAGGCTCTGGCGAGACCTTACAGTGGCCTGCCAGTACCTGAAGGGGGCCTACAAGAAGGCTGGGGAGGGAATTTTTCCAAGGGCCTGTAGTGATAGGACGAGGGGTAATGGGTGGAAGCTGGAAGAGTGTAGGTTTAGACTAGGTATAAGGAAGAAGTTCTTTACCTTGAGGGTGATGAGGCACTGGAACAGGTTGCCCAGGGAGGTTGCAGATGCTCCAACCCCAGGAGTGTCCAAGGCCAGGCTGGATGGAGCCTTGAGAAACCTGACCTAGTGAGAGATGTCCCTGCCATGGCGGGGGGGGTGGAACTAGATGATCTTTGAGGTCCCTTCCAACCCGAATCATTCTATGATTTGGTTCCAGTGTTTTCTGGAATTACTAAAAGCTACAGACTAAAACAGCCTTGCAAAAAACCCAAAACAAAACAACAAACCAAACAAAGTAAAAGCATACCAGTTCAGGCATGAAGCTACTCACTTCTTTTTTTGACTTAGGGATGCCTGTGGACCAGAAAACGTAACCTAATGCTCTTTTAACCTGAAACTGGACAAAACTTACTCACCTACAATGAGACAGAGAGATGAATTCTGCAAGACTAAAGAACAGCAAATGCTATTCCTTGTTCTACTGAAGTTTTATTAAATAAAGACTATTAAATCCCACCAAACAGATGGTTTAGAAGCTGTATAAAGAAGCTCTCATCTCAGAAGTAGTTTGAACTCTCCCAAAGAACTAGAAAATAACTATATTTAACTACCCTTGGAGCATTTCTGGTGACTTCTAGATTACATTTCAGTACTAGCATGAAATCCAGATTTTTTTGCAGAGAAATTTCAACAAAGTTATAATGAATACTTACGCATTTCATTCTGCCCAGTGTATCTCTTACAAACTCTAATCCTTGTGAGAGCCCTCTCTGCCACTGCAGTGGCTCCAAGTAATTTATATAAAAATATAGACAGAATACTAAATGCCAGAGAGAGTATGGAAGCAGAATCACTGAGAATTACTGAATGCAGAACTCTGAAGGAAAGCCTAGACTGCAGATAAGAAAAGAATTGGCCCATGATTGGTTTTAGCTCCTTTTCTGTTGCTATAATGCTAAAATAAGCTGAAAATTTGAGATTTTAAAAAAGCAATTATTTTTTTTAAAAAAAGTCACAGACACATCTATATTTTTTCAGAATGACCAATGCTTAAAAAGCATCCAAGTGAAAACTCCACCAAAAATATCTATAAACCATCTCCATATTAAGAAAAGCATACTTCTCATGGTATTCCACAAAGGAAACAAAGCCCACCCATACCTTTAGAATATTGGACCACACTATTTATTTTATCAGGTCAGAAATATTTAAGCCGCTGTGTTTTTTATGACAGCTAGTTTCACCAATGACAACACACCATCACTAAAGAAAAATACAGATTAATCAGTTTTGGGGTTAGTGTTCTTACAGAAGTATTCAATAAAATCTTTAATTTGTGGGGTTAAATCCTGAAACCTTGCCTGGCCACAAATAAATGACATGGATGCCAGTTACCACAATTGCAAACCAGGATGTAACTGAAGCACAGAAAGACCCCCCTTCCTCTGCAGTTGACAAAGTCCTATTTCACACATCACCAAGAACCACATATTAACCCACAAAAAGAATTGCAACACATGTGAAGTTGTCCAGACGAGAGGCACAGTGGGAAAAAACTGCCATCAAACGCTGACCTATGACCCACCTGACTGGTCTACAGCACTAGAATGGTGTCTGTCCTTCCATTTTATGGAGATCCGAGCACAGTTTGACAAAACTGAAACCATTCCGTAATAGCAGCCACGCTCCTTAAATTTGGGCTTGACTTTAGAATATAAGAGAAATGATTACTTGTATCTGCTTCCAAAGATCAAACTACTGAAATACAGTTTATTTGATGTGTAAATTCACCATATAATGCTCTGAGAAACCAAAACGACACTTTGAAATGAAGAAGCTTAAAAGAATATGTAATGTAAGAATTCAGTTATGAATCAATTACAATAGCACTTAAGCCATGGCCTAAAGGGGGTACCAGCATTATTTTCAACCATTAAAAGCTCTGTTCTGTCATCTGCACGTAAAATTGCAGAAGCATAGCGCAACATCTCTGTCTGAAGAGGATCTCAGAATATCAGAAAGCTCATATTTTCCTACAAAAGCTTAATTTGCATCACTACTTGCCTGGGATTTGGACATTGCTTTGACAGCATTCAAATCAGATCCTGAGCAAAAGGTGTTTCCTGCACCACAGATGATAAGGCCTTTGCCATCCTTCCAGTCTTCCAGTTCAGTTACCCTCTCCTCAAGTTCTAGCATCATAGTACCTGTCACAAGAGGGGAGAAGTAAAATTTTTAACAGGAAATTATTATCACCATCCTGTTTTATGTTACATTTTTCACCACCAAAACCAAATCACCATTAGTAAATGATGGGCTTAAAAACACAACCAAAAGCATCAGCTTAAATCCTGCACACAAGTACATTTCTTCCTTAAGGATGCACTTCCAGAAATTCTAAAGGATTATTCTGTGTGAACGATACTTGTATTATGCCCAGAGGGAAAAAAAAAAAAAGTGCAAAGAGGCAATCACACAAGCACAAACCCTACCTGATTTACTCTTGTTTGCAATTACATACATCCAGGACACATGAACTTCTATATATCCATCCAGGTTTGTCCATCTAGTCATTTTGATGTTACAGACATTTCACCCTCCCCAAAGAACTCGCAGAGTACAGAAAAGAATCATGTGCAAGGTGGCCTCAGGATTCAAACAATCAACGTTAATAAAGATTCCTAAAAAGCAAAAGGCTAAAGAGAAAACTATTTTGGAGGTCAAAGACATTTAGAAGTACCCACCCAAAAGAAAATAAGGATAGATTTGAAAATAAGAGCAATGTGTCTTTTATCTTTTAAATGGAGAAAAAAAATCTCTGTAAAACATCTTTTACTCCTTTTAGAAAGGCTTTCTTTACAAAGTATATCCTAGGCCCCAAACATACGGGATACTCCCCTTTCTAGAGCTCATCCTAGACTGCATCTTCGACATCAGCTGAGCATACCCAGCTTTAACTTAAGGCTCTTCTCTGAATGTCTATGACCCTCAGTTATATTCTTAAGAGAAAATATTTACAGAAACTAATTTCAAAAAGCAGGCCACATAAAGGCTGATAATATTCTCAGCTTTGCCCTCCTTTGACAAGAATTTAGATGGACAGGCCTACCTCCTTCAGATAGAAACGTGCTTTAGATTAATATCCTCTAGGGCTCTTTCCTGTTCTGCCAAGAGTGTCAGGTTTTTGACCCTACGCCCGCGTGCACAGAAGTCATCTTGTTATGAGACTGCCTGTTAGAAGCTATCCTCACGTAGGAGGTTTTGATGGGTTTTTTTCCCTTCTTGCTTGTTTTCCTCACAGTTCCCAGCACCAGGTCAAGAGTGAATGCTCAGTCAAGCTCTTTCACCTTCAGCTTGGTCTCAGTCACTGGAATAGCACACTCTGACAATGCTTCTGAGGAGGGCAATACTTAAGTGGACATTACATATTATATACCAGAATGACATTGGGTTCTTTTTTTTCCGCACTGTCAGGTCCAGACTATGATCCACTAACAAATCCCAGCACTTTTACCAGTTTCCTTCCCTTCTGTGTTTATAATTTTGTCATGCTTTTTTTCTGTTACACATTACATTTGCTTTCATTGAATTTCACATTGCCAATCCTGAGCTCTCTGTGGCAGTTAATCATGACCACTATGAATTCTACTCTTCTGCTCCAAATAACAATCTTCGTGCAAGCTCTCTCAATTTGGGGTGATCTGACAATTTCAGCAGTTCACCTTCTATTTCATCATCCAAGCCACGAATGAAAATACGAAGCAGAACTAGCCCTAGAAATTTTTCCTAATATCCAATCTAAACCTCTTCTGGTGCAACTTGAGGCCATTTCCTCTTGTGCTATCACATGTTACTTGGGAGAAGAGACCAACACCCACCTGGCTACAACCTCCTTTCAGGCAGCTGTAGAGAGCAATAAGGTCTTCCCTCAGTCTCCTTTTCTTCAGAAAAAACAACGCCAGTTCCCTCAAACACTCCTAATGCAACTTGTTCTCCAGACCCCTCACCAGCTTCATTGCCCTTCTCTGGACCCACTCCAGCACTTCAACGTCCTTCTCACCCTGCAGTGTCCAAAACTGAACACAGTACTCATGCTGTGGCCTCACCAGTGCTGGGCACAATCACTTCCCTACCCTTGCTGGCCACACCATTCCTGATCCAGGCCAGGATGCCACTGGCCTTCTTGGCCACCTGGGCACACTGCTGGCTCATGTTCAGCCGGCTGGCCAGCAACACCCCAGGTCCCTCTCTGCCTGGCAGATCTCCAGCCACTCCTCCTCAAGCCTGTAGCACTGCTGGGGGTTGTTGTGATCAAAGTACAGGACCGAGCACTTGGCCTTGTTGAACAACTGGCCTCAGCGCATTGATCCAGATCTCTTAGGTTGCACCAGGGGAAGTTTAGATTGGATATTAGGAAAAACTTCTTTACTGGAAGAGTGATGAGGCATTGGAACAGGCTGCCCAGGGAAGTGGTAGAGTCCCCGTCCCTGAAGACATTAAAAAAATACATAGATGTGGCACTTTGGGACATGGCTTAGTGGTCATGAAGGTGTTGGGTTGACTATTGGACTTGATCTCAGAGGCCTTTTCCAGCCTTAATAATTCTATTCTAGACAAGATTTCTGTGGGTTAAAAATGCTTTCCCAGCCTAACAGTGCACTCAACAATAACTTTTCTGCAAATGCTGCTACTGTTTAAGTAGGTGTGCATCAACGCCGAGGATTTCACTTTTTGCATATTTGCCAATTCTTCTCAGAAGAAACATATTTGGGCTGGCATCCAAGCGTTGCCAGTCAAGCACAAGGACTGTTTGTGGTTCTTTTAATAGTCAAAGCAGTGAGGTACTGAAGAGCCTTTCCACAGAGCGTTACAAGCCAGAAATCTATTTAACTGCAAAACAGAGTTTACAAAAAGGAACCATATGAGCCAGTTACATGCAACAGCAGGGGACAAGAGAAATTGGCCAGAGCCTGTCCCATCCTGCTGGGAGAGGATCCCTTCCATTACTGACAACATTGAACTATAATTTTACCAGCAGATACAGTCCACGATGTTTTGATATAATGATGAAGACACAATATTAAAGCAAATCTTCATTCTGCCAGTCTTGGTCCTTCAGTATTTGATACCAGTTAAGTTCATGCTCTTCACAGAACTATGTCTACTTGGACTAATTTGTTTACATCTTAATTATAATCTGAGAATAAATGTTTTAAAGTCAATTCTAGAAAATAAAAATACTATCATTATTATCTAATTCCTGCAGGCTGGCTCCCTTCTCTTTTAAATTACATTCAACTTTAGTTCAGCAAGAGGTTGGGCTGCTGAAATTGGTTCTTCCAGGTTTAAACTGACATTATTAGTATTTGTTTCCACAGAGACCATTTCAAACAGGTGGCTATCAGATTCCAATTAAGAAAAGAAAAAAGGCATAACAACCTCCACATTGCCCGTTAGCAATTTACCAACAATTTTGTTCTGCTTTTGGTTGCCTGACTTGCTCAAGCTTAGAATAAACATAATTCCTTTGAGATAAAAAGCTGCTGTGTAAAGTAAATGCCTGGTAAATAGGATGTCTCTCAACAGTTTAATGATGTTTTGCAGCTTTCTAAAGGAAGCGTGTATGTATATATAAACTCACATCTGCCACTACTCAGAAGCTCTGAGAGAGAGAATCAACAAAATTTATTTGAGGGGGGCTTGTTTACAAGCTCTGACTGATGAATTCAACCAGGTCCTGCTGGGGCAATTTAGTGGCATCGTCCCCCTTTTCATACTTCCCCTGAAGAGTATTACTTGACACACAACAAAAAGAAAAACATCAAGTACTTGCTAGTTCTTCAGTAACTACAGTTTCCAGACAGTAATGTTAAAATGAAATGAAAACCAGTATAAATTAATATGCCATACCATCCACCACAGCAGCCAAGGGGTCAGGGTGATTCTGCTTCTACCTTCCCTCCCATAACAAAAAAAGCCTCTAGTAGAGGTGCACAGTAGAAAGAAGCAGCAATCTCTTGAACTGCCATACTAAGGCTTTCCAGAGGAAATTTTTGTGGTTATTACCCTAGCAAAATGGAGTACTGTTCTCTTCAGGGCTTTACAAACTACTGTAAACCAGAACTGCCCGATCCTATGGCTCATTGGCTATATGCTAATCACGGTTTGCAACAAAGAACTATTAATTTCCTCACAGGTTTTTGTAGCTCCTCTTTGCTACTAGAGCATCTAATTCACATACACTAATAATTTATTTTCACGGAAGTCCTATTAGGTGAAAAGAGATTGTTTTCCAGACCACTAACTGAGCAAGAGAAAAAATATCTGCTAATTTTGGGCGCTCGAGATGTGTGATATGATTTCAGTACATTAACATTATATAGCACTTTCTATAGTCAAATTACAGTGACCAGTGGCCTAAATAGCAGCTGCAATTGCTCAGCACTTCAACAAATCAGTTCAGAGCCCCTTTTGCCAGGCACCTAAAAATCAGAGAACATAGTTGTAAGTTTCTAAGGAAGTTTAGTTTAGGCAATTTGACTTGTATTACATCTGATCTCCACAGCAGACTGGATTTTATTTGTCCTTTCTTCTTTTGCTATTACATCTCATTTTTCATGCCCCTTTCAACTTCCACAACAAATAAGCTACGAGCACACAGTCTACAACCTGTACCTTTTTCTGCAGAAAAAGTAGAAACAACAATGTAATTATGACTGTATAATAACATGTATGCTGACAGGGAGGCATTCAGAAGGACAATCCCCATGCTAACATCTTTTAGCTACAATTTCTCAAGTTAGGTAATAATTTTTTACACGAGCTTTTAAAAGGAAACAAAAAAGAAATGGCAGACCCAGCTAGGTGCATTATCACTAACCCTGTTGCTCTATTAGAAACTAACAGTCATTAGTGGAAGGAGCAGATTGACACTCCTCATGTAAACAGCTCTGTGCTTTGCTAGTGGGTTGCAAACGTTATTTGCTGGCAGTAAAGGAACAGTGAGAACTGGGCAGGAAAACAGAACAGCAAAAAAGAAATGAACAAGATGACACAAATGTATTAATTTCTAAATATTAAGAGATAAAGGCATTGTTAAAGTAAAGGCTTATACACAGCTCCAGTTCAGGCAGATACAGACCCTGAACCTGTGTCACTTACGTCTGAAGAGAACAGCACAGATTGGAATATTCTAGATAGTTAAGGAGAGACAGTACATATATCTATCTTGGAGACCAAAAGCCTCTCATAATGCAAGATTAACAAAATAGGGCACTTGGCTTTGCTAGCTAAGTATTGTCCAGTGTAAAAGCTCTTTAAGTAGATTCCTGATCTGCAAAAGTTGAAAATACTCAACTCGTCTAAGCTTTAATTAACCAGTCATTGACATTTAAGACATCAGGCAAATGAAGAGGAAAATTGAAGCCAGGTTGGGTGACTGGAAAAGACAAAATTATAGAAGCTTAAGTTACAGGGAAGGTTTTAGGTAAAGAACAAAGAAGCAACCCCATCCTTTCTACACAACCTACGAAACAAAGACAGCATCTTCTCATCCCCATAAAATACCCAATATGCTTCCAGAGCAGAAGCAACAACATGAAAGGAGATACAAGAACACAGTAGCAAAATTGTGCAGACTGAAAAAACCAAAACAAAAAAAAAAAAGGCAGCGAGGCACGTTCTGTCAGAATTACTTATATTCTTATGACATTTATGACAAAGCCACTATGCAGGACAGTGGGCATTTGCTGCACATCTGAACAAAACTTAAAACATTTATTCTTTTAACTAAGGAATGGTAAGGCATAGTGTTTTATTTTGTTTAGGCAAAATGCTAAAACGGGTAACTGAAGGAATAAAAAACAACCAACCAACCAAGCAACTAGCAATCCCATCAACTAATTAATACCTGTAAAGGCATTCATAAGCTTTGGGTTGTTCAAAGTAAGTATTCCAATGCCACCGTCTTCTTTGGATAGGTTGATGGATCCACCAGCAAACTGCTGAAGTTTCTTCTTTATCAATTCTTCCTCATAGCCATGAGCATCATTATACAGTGACACCCTTCGCTGCTGTAGTATCCTTTCCTTCGTACTCTGAAGTAAGTTCCTGTACAGAGAAACAGCCATTTCTGGAAATAAATAGAGGAGGGGGGAAAATAATCAGGAAATTCCATTTGCAATCTACCTCAGTCTTCTGACAGAGAGGGAGGCAGGCCAGCAGAAACTGATACAAGGGTGATACAATCATGAAAGTCTACAGAAATCACTGCAAACTGTATTTGCAAAATTTTTAGTCTGAATCTACTCTCACAAAGTTAAAAGAATAAGTTTTATGAAGTAATTTTAATAGTTAGGCTAGAAATTAGCATATTTTAAAATATTTTCTTGCAAAAATCACCCAAAAGTATTTGTGTGCAGAACATGAAAGAGGTTTAAGAACTGTAGTAAGGCTCACATATATTTCATTACACCAAGTTACTCTCTACTAATTTTCCAAACCCTTCCTCACCCTCCTCCCTAAAAAAAATACCCAAACTCCACATCCATGCTGGAGAAAAAAGTCCTATCCAAACCCTTAGTTTTCAGGATCTGGTTTTCCTGATTTTCTGTAAGCAACTATTACAGTAAGGCCTTTCTGAGAAAAATACTTAAGGAACATGAAAATTAAGATCTGAAGATCATTCCTATATTGTCATCCATCCCGGGTCAACTAATTCCATTAACACATTTATCACACTCCATCTTACACCTAGTTAGTCTGCCTAGCCCCTGGTATATATAAGCTTTTCCCAGTTATTCCAGTAGCACTTTGAACTGATCTCACTTGGACACAGAGCTCCAGAACCTGTGCAGTACAGTGAAGAAGGGGAAGTGCACAACAGTATTACATACTGAGCATCACATTTGCCTTTAATACAAGTATGTAATACTGGCAAACTCTTTCTATGTACCAGCACATCCATGACTTATTCCATCACTGTGGAGGAATACTCTACAATGTATATCAGGAAATAACAAGAAAGTCATTATCAAATATTATTCTTGATGTGCATTTCTGCCTTATTTTATTTAGTTTGGAAAAGGGTCTGTTAAAGTAGTTTACAAACGTTCTGAAGGAAGTGGGGTAAAGCCTGAACTGGAGACAGCTGATCTGAAAAAGAAGTCATCTTAGAAGCCACTTAGAGTGGGAATCAAAAAAAAACCCCACAGGACTCAGAAAAAAGTTTTGTTATATTCAAATCTTGCAATCTGCTAGTCTAGTCCTAGCTTTGACCCAATCCCCTTTTTAATGGATACAGCTGTTCAGAAGACATAGCAGATGCTCAGTTTTTTTGAGAACTGGGAAAAGACCACCTTTGTTTCTTAATCATATTTGGCAGAAACAAAGAGTCTTTCAAAACTGGCAAGAAACTCCTGGCATGTCTTTCTAAGGTGAACCCAGAACACGAACACATTCACTGAGACAGAAGTTGGTGATAGCTATACTTTATGCTGTGTTCAGGGCATCTTAATTGTTAAGGCATTTGTTACATACACATGAACAAGCAAACACACATTAAAACACCCATACACAATTAGCTTATAAGGAAAGCAATGAACAGTCCTGCCAGGTGAAGACTCATCTTGTCTCTGCACGTACCATCCTACACAACTGGAACATGCTTCCGCTGGGGCAAGTATAATCCTCAGCAAAACAGAGGAGGAGTCTGCACAGCAGCCAAACTACAGAATGCAGAGGAGTGTGCACCAGGAAATCTTGAAGAGCAACCTGTGCCAGCAGATTCATATCTGTCCTGCCTCATTGCATCCACCAACACAGCACTATCTCAGAAGTTTAACACAAAGAAACCAGTAAGGCCTGTATGAATCTATATGTCCTCAATCTATGCTCATTCTAATGCTGGCTACAACACTTCAGCCACCACCTTTCAAAGCTCTTAAAATCACTTCTCTTGGTAAAATTTTATTTAAGAGTGACAACAGGCTTCTGAAGCTCATTTCTCAGCTGAACGATTCTTTTTATATTCAGACTCTCAGAAGAGAAATAGCCTTCCATTTTCTCTAACACCTCCGTCATCATTCCCCAACATATATTCATGAAATAAAACTTTTCATCCAGCTACTAGGTTTTGCTCAGGGAAGAGCGAACATCAAAAACATGGATATGGCTCTCCTTGCAAAGTGTAGCTTGAACAATTTGGTCCCAATTTTTAATAAATACAAAGCCTCCCAAAACCTCATAAGTAGGCAGACTAGATATGAAGCCACAACGACTGGCTTGAAAGCAAAAAAAAAAAAGGAAAAAAGAAGACTGTTATGTTAACCTAACTCCCTGCCAAATTATACTTGTTTGATCACTTTCATACTACCTAGACTTCTTATGTCAGAAAATGTACAGAGCAAAACAGACTAAAGATATGGAAATTTTATTCCACTGAAAAAAGAGTCTGTCATTTTCGACTGTGTGGTTATATGCATTAACAGCTCTTTAATATTATCACTATGGTAATAAAGAGCATCAGCAAGTGTGGGATTAGAAAACAAATTGGACATCACTGTCTGCTGATCATGACTCATGATTAATGACTCATGCAAGGTATTATCACTGAATTATTTTTCTTTATAACTATCTCTTACAGTACTGGTCAGTACTCAGTACTTATTTTAATAAAACCAAGATTATTTTAACAGGTCAGTCTAAGAAAGCAGGATATTTAAGATACAGCTCTCCTAAACTAAAGGGATTTCTGCTGATCCCTGACAAACAACATTCAAAATTTCAACTAGTATGAAGGACTCACAATTTACAATTGCTGTGACTTAGACTGATTCTTTTGTACTGTAAGGGAAAGCAATGCAAGAGAGAGATGTTGCACTAAACTGTGCAGTATGGTAGGACAAGTCAAGAGGTATTTATCACACTCAAATTTTCAGATTTTCAGTTCCACATAATTAATCCTATTTAGAAACTTACAGAAATGAAGTCTCAGTCTAATTATAAGAAGTCTAGCATGCCATGCCCATTAACACAGACCCATTAGCACAGTCAGTTTATGCACAGTTTTGACAGTGAAAAAAATCTGACAGTATAGGAATAGTGAACACGGGGGCAATTAGCATCTTCCAAATATTTTAAGTGCTACAGCTTTACATACCACTTGTGACAACTAAGAGATAAGCCTACAACATGGACATCAATAGCTGTTCATTCCACGGTTACTGAACCTCTTGCATAAACCAACAATTTAAATCCCATTTGGCACTCAAGTGATTTGATAACTCCCTTGCCTGTGGGCTAGCAGACTGCAGGTTAAGGTGAACACGTATGGAATGTCAACACTTCAGTAGCAAAGGAATGACATACATTATGCAAGACCAATATGTGTATCTACACACAGACACCCGCACCCAATATATGTATTTTTGTGTATGCATATGTATCAGAGGCCTTCTGGTAAATGCCTAGTTAAAATTCAGCTCTCACAATGTTATGAAAAAAAATAATATTCCATAACTGAGCAGATTCTTTGGGAAATCAGTAAGCTCCAACTCTGGAACAAATGTATTTGCCATTGTCAGTCACCACTACTCTGTTGCAACCCCACTTTTTCTCTTAAAACATTTTGTATCAAAGAGCAAACTCCAACAATGTTGCCAGTTTTAACTGCTAGGGACTATAAATATAGCTGGGTAAGGGATGTAGGTAACAACTTTCTGGATGGGTAGAATTAAGACAAACCAGAGAATCAGGCATTGGGAGCCGAGTATTTGAGGTACATGCACAAACAAGAAAGGCTGCACTACAGAGCAGCTACACAAAAATAATCAGGAAGCTAAAACACATCAAGAGGGAAAATTCTGACTCAAAGACAGCACCTGAATTATTGACACAAGTAATAGCAAAAGAAAATGGTGAGAAAAAAACGCAGAGGTGCATTTTCAGTACATCAGTGAAACAATCGTGCCCTTCCACAGGAGGCAGGAAATGACAGGTGGGATGTGCAGATACAGACTTGTGAGTCTCCTGCAAAAAAACATCAGCTGAATTTCTGGTTTTGCACAAAGGTATCCTCAGATAAAGTGTAGAGGAAATAAAGAGAACCAACACAAAAAATTCACAGAAGAAATCTCAGGAAAGATAAAATACTCAAATGGCATAACAAAAATAACAATTAGACACTTTTGTGACACTGCCAGAGGTATCAAGGACAGCTGACAGGTCAAGAAGCACAGAAGAAGCTGACTTGATGAAGAACTCCAGCAGCTACAATTTCAGTGGCAAGCACAGAAGTGCGAAGACAAGGCATGGAAAAAAGGATAGAAGGTGTGAACTGAAGAGGACGATGAGAAGATTTACAGTCCAATCCTATGTGTGTGTCTTACCAGTCACTGCAGGAGGCACTCATCTGCACTAGGAAGCACTGGCCATGACTGTCAGATGCTCCACCAGGTTCTTGCAGTGACTGATCAGTGAATGGAAAGCAAAGGGTGAGCCAATACTGAGGACTGGCACGACTGACCCTACGTGAAATCAGATAAAGAAGCAGACAGTGCAGGAGAAATATAATCAACGCATGAAAATAGTCCATGTTCACACACACACAAAAAAAGTTTGAAAATGAGTAAAAATCATTAACACCAAATGACTGGAGCCTGAGACGTGGGCTGGTGGGTGACTGGCAGGGATAAAATAAATCCCAGTGTTGGACAGAGGGAAGGAATTCAGAAACAGAAGATCAAAGGGGGGCAGCCTAGATGCAAATTAAGCAAGAGCATCATTCGCATGGTGAAGAGAAGTCACTGGACCTTACCTTTAGACAAAAGAAAGATGCAGGAGGGCAGGTGTCACAAGGTTCCTCCCCAGCACTGGCTGAACAGGCCACTCTTGCCAGCTTCCTGTCACCACCCCCCACTGAATGTTACAGAGCCCTTCATCTCCCTCATCCACTTAAACATCTTCCTTTTCTCCTTCCATGATGCGTGGGTTAGGTTAACTTTAAACGCCCTACCTGACAGATTCTTCCCACCGTAATAATTACCAGCTGAAGCAAGCTGAGGGCAGTCACCTCTCCAGTTTGCTTTCCTTCAGCTGCCAGCAAGCAGTGAGCTAAGGGATGCTAAGGGATGAGCAGC